CAGAGGCAGGCAGATCTCTGTGAGTTCGAGACCAGCCTGGTCTACAAGAGCTAGTTCCAGGACAGCCTCCAAAGCCTCAGAGAAATCCTGTCTTGAAAAACAAACAAACAAAAAAACAAAAAAAATAAATGTACGGGGGGAGAAAAGAAAGTACATTTACTTATTGTGTGTCTGTGGGGACACATGCCACTGCTTAAGTGTGGTCATTAGGACAATTTTGGGGAGTTACTATGTGGGCCTCCGAGATTGAATGCAGGTCTTCAGGATTTCCACCATGTGGGTGCTGGGAATTGAACTTGATCTTCTGGAAGAGAACTTAGTGCTCTTAACCACTGAATCATCTCTCCATCCCTTCTAGGAAATTAATTTTCTCCCCCTAAGGAGAAGCCAGCAAAGTTTTATTGAGAATAGAGTAACAGTTCCTGTAGGAGGGAGGCTTAAAAAAAAAATGGGCTGCTCTTTAAAATGTTTTTATTTTAGGGGTAGAAGGTTCAGGAAAGATTGTTTCAGGGGATCTGATGCCCTCTTCTGGCCATCATGGGCACTACATATACTGGGGCACTGATGTGCATGCAGGCAAAATAGTTATACACATAAAAAGTTATATACATAAAACAAAGATTTAGTTTTGATCACGTGTATGTGTCACATGCACACGTTATTGGGACAGTGGAGCTACCCAGAGTGAGTTGGAGCTCTTAAGTTTGAGCTGACTTGAAAGATAGTTGCCATTCACTGTAAAGTTGAATTATCTGTCAGTGGCAAGGCCCTCAGAGGAATTAAAGGTGGTTACTGCTCGGTGGAAAGGGAGAGCCAGGTCCCAGTAGTGGAGGTCAGTCCTCACGCAGCTATTTCTGGTAACTTGAAAGCTGTGGGCACATGGAAGGGAGATTGGTGCTGGGCTTGAGAAAGAGGACGAGTGGAGGTTGGTTCCTTGAGGTAATGTCATTGGTGACACAGCACAGTGGGGAGTGACACTCCAGCATAACCTCTTTTAGACTCACTGCCAGGAGTGTCTTCAGAGATCTGGATTGCAGCTTCTGCTTTTCCCCCCGAAAGACATGGTTTCTGTGTAGCCTGGCTGTAAAAGAACTTGCTCTGTAGACCAGGCTGGCCTGGAACTCAGGGATCCAACTGTCTGTGCTTGCCAAGTGGTGGGATTAAAGTCCAATGCCACCACCACCCAGCTAGCTTCTTTTTTTAAATATATTTTTATCTGGGCTCCTATCCTGCACATCAGGGCTCTCCATAGATCTTCCTTTAACCTTTACCATTATTGTCCATTTTTCCTAACCTGGAGGTTATGAGTTAGGGGTTCTAGCAAAAGCAAGGAAATGGAATCATGATATGACAATTCCATTTTGTGGTGTTTGGGTGCTGGCAGGTTAGAAGAGGGCACTGATATCCTGGAGCTGGAGTTACAGGTGGTTTTAAGCCACCTGCAGTGAGTGCTGGGAAAGCAAACTCCTACCTCTGAAACTGAGGCAAGTGTTCTTAGCCACTTACCCTCTCTCTAGCTCCCTTGATGCGTTTACCATCTTTTTGTTTTTGAGATGGGTTTCTCTGTGTAGTCCTGGCTGTTCTGGAATTTGTTCTGCAGACCAGGCTGTCCTGGAACTCAGAAATCTGCTTCCCAAATGCAGGGATCAAAGGCATGTGCCACCACCCTAGCCTGTTTATTATCATTCCCCTGCCCCCTTTTTTTTGAGACCTGGTTTCTCTGTCTTGGCCTCGACCAAGCTGGCCTCGAACTCAGAGATCTGTCTGTATTTGCCTCCCAAGTGCTGGGATTTAAAGGCATGTGCCACCACTCTCTAGCTTTTATTATCTTTTTACCCTATCCCTTTGTTTATCCCACAGACCCTCCTCTGGCTGTGCCCAGGTATTATCTCACCCTGGACACACACCAGTCACCAGTTTGGCTTGGGCCCCCAATGGGGGGCGGCTACTCTCAGCCTCCCCTGTAGATGCTGCTATTCTGGTGAGTGGTCTCCACCCCTATGTTGAGACAAGAGCCTTCTTCACCTGGTGGTGGAAATCTTGCAGGGAGTGAGATTGTCTTCAGTTTATATAGTGAAGGAGCTATCCCCAGATCTTACTCTGGTGACTATCATTGTAATCATAAACCCAGGTCTTCCTATTGAGAAGACAGTTTCTTGCTGTGTCCCCTTCTCTGGGCTTTTGTGCAGGGACGAGGGTAGCCTAAGTGAGCTGATTGTTAGTGCTCTGAGTTTCTGTACCATTTCCCTTCCTCTCAGGTATGGGATGTCTCAACAGAAATCTGTGTCCCCCTTCCCTGGTTCCGAGGAGGGGGAGTTACCAATTTGCTGTGGTCCCCAGATGGCAGCAAAGTCCTGGCTACTACTCCTTCAGCTGTCTTTCGGTGAGTGGGTAAAAAGCTGAAGGAAGCCAAGATCTAGAGAAAGGCACATGGCTTCTGGACCTGACTCTGGGGACCAAAAACCTGGGGACAATCCTAGTTTGGAGCATGAAGGCCCCAGGCTATAATCTGTCTTTCTCTGGCTCAGAGTCTGGGAGACCCAGATGTGGACTTGTGAGAGGTGGCCAACTCTCTCAGGGCGCTGTCAGGTAAGAGGGGCCTAGGACTCACAGAAATTAGGAAGGGGATTTTTTTTTTAATTGGACTGGATCCCTTTGATGGTTCCCCAGCTCTACTACTGTCCTCTTTAGTCCTGTCTTAGACCTCTTTTCTCCTGGCTTCTTCTTCTGTCCCCAGACTGGCTGCTGGAGTCCAGATGGGAATCGATTGCTGTTCACTGTACTAGGGGAAGCACTAATTTATTCCTTGTCATTCCCAGAAGGATGTGGTGAGTTGACATTTCATAATACAGACTGTATGGGGCAGTAGAGGGAGACAGCAGCCAATAGAGTGCACTGAGGGGTGAAGGAAGTATAGAAACCTAGGAAACCAGCCAATCACTGCATGCTAGAAACCTCTGCCCTTACAGGAACGGAGAAGGGACATGTTGGAGGTGCAAAGTCAGCAACGATTGTAGCCGATCTTTCTGAGACAACAATACAGACACCAGATGGAGAGGAGAGGTGGGTTTCAGTGCCTGTGGGAGGAGTGATGAAAAGTTGGAAGAGCCACATTTGAATGCTCCTGTCCTGTCACAGGCTTGGGGGAGAGGTCCATTCCATGGTTTGGGACCCTAGTGGTGAACGTCTGGCTGTGCTCATGAAAGGTAAGGAGCAGAGAGAATGGGGCATGCTTTCTTTTGGTCTCACTGAGTAGCCTGGGCTGTCCCTTTTGCTTCTGCCTCATTACACCCACTAGAGAAAAGGGGCCTTTCTTAAACCACAGCCTAATAGATTTCTGATAGTAGCAGGGCTGCTGTTCTGTCCTTTCCCTCTGGGCCTGGCTTCCAGAGTTCCCTATATTAGCTGACTCCTTTCTTACAGGAAACCCACGGGTACAGGATGGGAATCCCGTAATCCTCCTTTTTCGAACTCGAAACACACCTGTGTTTGAGCTGCTTCCCTGGTAAGTGCCTGGCAGACCTCTGGGTCTGGACTCCACAGCACCTGCCATGTGCAACTGCACAAACTTCCCTGCCCACACTTGTCTCTCACCTCTCTTCCTCTTCTTGCCACAGTGGCATTATTCAGGGAGAGCCAGGAGCCCAGGCTCAGCTCATCACTTTCCATCCTTCCTTCAACAAAGGGGCCTTGCTCAGTGTGGTGAGTAGATGGGCTAGGTGTGTGTATGTAAGCTTGCTTATGTAGATGTCTTCTGGATGCCTGGAACCTCAGACTCTTCCCTACTCATTTTCTGCAGTGCTGGTCCACAGGCCGAATTGCCCACATCCCTCTGTACTTTGTCAATGCCCAGTTTCCACGCTTTAGCCCAGTGTTTGGCCGGGCCCAGGAGCCCCCAGCTGGAGGTGGAGGCTCCATTCATGAAGTGCCACTATTTACTGAGACATCACCAACCTCTGCCCCTTGGGACCCTCTTCCAGGACTACAACCTGCTCAACCCCACTCCCCTCACTCTCACTTGTAAATAAAGTCTTCTGGTTTTCTACTTATCTACCAGGCTGTATTTTTCTTTTCTAGTACATTGCTTGGATACAATAGAAAACAAGGATTGGGTCCACGGACCAAGATTCTACTGTCATTTTCTAACTGGCTGAGAATTTGATCAACTTATTTAGTCCTCAGAATTTTTTTTTTTTTTAAGATCTGTTATGTAGGAGAGGCTGGAGAGATGGCTCAGCTGTTAACAGCACTGCCTGTTTTTCCAGAGGTACTGAGTTCAATTCCCAGCAACCACATGGTGGCTCACAAACACCTTGAATGAGATCTGGTGCCCTCTTCTGGCAAGTAGGCATACACGCAGGCAGAACACTGTACACACTGTACACATAATAAATCTTAAAAAAAAAAAAAAAAAAACGGGGCGTTGTTGGTGCTCGCCAGGCAGGCGGATCTCTGAGTTCGAGACCAGCCTGGTCTACAAGAGCTAGTTCCAGGACAGCCTCCAAAGCCACAGAGAAACCCTGTCTTGAAAAACCAAAAAATAATAATATGTTGTGAGCCAAGTGGTTGCTGGGAATTGAACTCAGGACCTCTGGAAGAGCAGATGTTATGAGCCAAGTGGTTGCTGGGAATTGAACTCAGGACCTCTGGAAGAGCAGACTGTGCTCCTAACAACTGAGCCATCTCTCCAGCCCTTTATTTTTTTAGAATTTAATGTTTTGTGGTACATATGTGTATCACATGTGTAGCTAGTGCCCACAGAGTCAGAAGGAGGGGGTGTTAGACCCTCTCAACTGGAGTTATAGACAGTTAATGTCAGTGCAGGAAATTGAATCTGATTCCTCTCCAAGAGCAACAATGCTTGTAACTGCTGAGCTGCCTCTCCAGCCCACTATGTTAGTTTTCAAATGTTTTGAAAAGCAGTGGGAAAACACCTACCATAGGTCCTGTACAGGGGATATTGACTTACCAAGTCTGAGAAAATTAATAGGTTTGGTGGATAAGAGCCCGTTGTCAGAGATGAAGTTTTATTTGACTACAGCATTTGCAAGGGGTGTGGGTGCTGGGTGCTGGGCAAGAGTGGCACGGGCCATGTTCAGGGCACCTTCTCGAGTGCGGTGCCCACCAATGAAGCCACTGGCATGGACAAAGATGCAGCCAGGTATCCCACTGACTTGGTCCAGGGCCTCATCCCGAAGTCCCCGCCATGGCTCTGGCAGGGGCAGCCTATATTTAAGAACAAACAGAGGCATAAGGGTGGCAGACTCCCAACAGTGCTGAAACAGACCTGAAGGAAGGTAGAGTAGTTTTGTGGGGACTCACCGACTTTGGAATGAGTGAGGCTCCTTGGGTACACATTGGACTCGCCACTGTCCAGCCTGGTCAGTGTAGATAACAAAGGTGATGGCCACTGGGGGGGACAGCTCAGATTCTAGGTGGTAAAGATGCTCCTTCCAAGGACACCCACCTTTTGCAAGTTCCACTATCTTTCCACTTGAGTCCACCTGAAAGGGAAGTAGTGTGTGGCTAGGTTTGGGTAGAAGCAGGAGACCCAGTAGACCAGATGGCTCAGAAGCATCCCTGGCTCTCAGGACACCTCCCAGGTATACCTGGAATCGCTGGGCCAGAGCCTCTTCTACCAAGGCGCGGGCTGGCAGCCAGCTGTGCTGGTAGAAATTTAGTCTCTGTAAAAACTCTTCTTGCACCAAGTCCATCGCACGCCTGAACCCTGCCTGGGAACAGTGGAAACCATAAAACATGTGCACTGACCCAAATTCTACTTCACAGGACTTGGAAGGCATCTGTTCTTCCTTTGTACTCAGGCTCTCCTTACCTCAGTATCTTGGTTGGGTTGGTTCCAGGTGGGATTAAGTCGAGAAACCCGGGCACTCAGTGTAGTGGTCAGTGCATATCGAGGCTCCCCTTCTTCCCACTGAGAAATCCCATTGTCCACGGCATCTACCTCTTCCACAAAGTTCTCGTACATCTAAAGCAGCAGGGGAGATGTACTTGATACTCATCATTGTAAAGATGGCATAGGTTTCACAGAATGTAAATACATACTTCCTCACAACAGTCCTGAGTGTTTCACCATTGACCAGATGGGAAGGAGGGAAGGAAACAGCTTAGTGTTAGGACTGGAATTCAGATCACCTGACTTCTAACACACCTGTGGCCAAGGCCAGAGTAGCCTGTGTACCCGGGGGCTGCTTTTTTTTTTTCTCTTCCCATTAATTTTTGTGTGTGTGTGTGTGTGTGTGTGTGTGTGTATGTATGTGTGTGTGTGACTGCTGTTCTGTATATATACCTGCATTCCTGAAGAGGGTGTGAAATCCTATTATAGATGGGTGTGAGCCACCATGTGGTTGCTGGGAATTGAACTCAGGACCTCTGAAAGTGCTCTCAGGGGCTTGTGCCATCGCTCCAGGCCTCACTGAAAAAAATTTTTTAAGCTGGGCATTGTGGCACACATGTTTAATCCTAGCACTCAGGCAGAGGCTGGCAGATATGAGTTCAAGACCAAGCTGGTCTACATTGAGTTCCAGGACAACCATAGTGAGATCCCATCTGGAGGAAAAAAAAAAAATTTAAACTTTTTTATGGCCAGGTGGTGGTGGTACACTCCTTTAATCCCAGCACTCTCGAGGCAGAGGCATGCAGATCTCTACAAGAGCTAGTTCCAGGGCAGCCTCCAAAACCACAGAGAAACCCTGTCTCGGGGGAAAAAAAAAAAAGATAGAAAATCTTTTTCATGTGTATGGGTGTTTTGCTTGCCTGTGCACAATGTGTATGCCTAATGCTAGTGGAGGCCAGAAGAGGGCATCAGATCCCCTGAAACTGGAGCCACAGACTAAAGTGCCATCTGGATGTTGGAAACCGAATCCTGTCCTCTGGAAGAGGATCCTGTGCTCTTAACCTGCAGCTTGGCTGTGCCGTTTGAACAAGGATTTTAGTTCCCTACGTAACATTGTGGAAATGGATTCCTGGGCCAAGGGAGGGAAGAGTATATGTGCTAACTAGGCTGCATAGCAAATTAATGAGGCAGTTAAGTGGGAAAGTGTTTGATGGACATAAAGAGCTATTGGGGGGGGGGGGGACGACCTAAGACATGGGCTTTGAGATGAAGCCATACTATACCATGTTTTCAGCAGCTGCAACACTTGAGTCTGAAGAAACAGAATAATGCCTAAATTCTAGGGCAGCAGCAGGAGATACTCCCCTACAAAATGCACTTCATACCAGTCACATGTGTGATGTGTCGAAAGAGCACTGAGAATCGAAAATGTTAACTCCTCCCTGCACAGCATCTCTTGTTGTACCAGGTGATACTCACTTAAAACTAGCATAATCAGCTACTTAGAAAACCCATCAGCAGAGGAAGTAAGTCACCCCATTTGTCTAAAGCCTTGGCACCCCCAAAGTTTTTTTTTTTTTTTTTTTGGTTTTCCAGACAGAGTTTCTCTGTGGCTTTGGAGGCTACCCTGAAACTGAAACTAGTTCTTGTAGACCAGGTTGGTCTAGAACTCACAGAGATCTGCCCGCCTCTGCCTCCCGAGTGCTGAGATTAAAGGCATGCGCCACCACCGCCCAGCACTCCCAAAGCTCTTATCCTACTCACCTCTTCCCCCTTGGCACATAAAATGGGGGAAGATGCTGGAGAACTGAGCTTGAGGTCTGAACCCAACAGTCCACCTGCAAAGCTGTGGGCTGGACTTCAGGGTTGATGCAGTCTGAGGTGCTGGGGACTGGATGAATCTGAGGCTTGACTGAATGTCACAGGAATAGGGTTAAGTGTTGTACTTGGTACTGTTTGGCCTGAAGAACAGTAGCCTGAACCTGCAGATGCTTCTGTAATCTGTTCCTTTCTGCCCAAGCTTGCCATCTCCTGTGCCACCAGTGAAGCATGGAGATGCTCAACAGCCAGGGAGCCAGCCTCTCTTAGCCCAATGCCTTATCTGTTTACTGAGAAATACTGAATAATTCTTTTGTTTGTTTGGTCTGCTTTTATGAGTCAGGATCCAGGTTGGCCTGGAACTCAAGATCCTCCTGTCTAAGCCTCTCAAGTGCTGGGTGAAATGTATACCACCACACCTGGAATAATTGTTTTTGGATGTATGGCATGAAAGACTGGAAAATGCTACTTTCAAAGCTCTTCCCCTGAATGCTGTGGTGTGCATACTCACAGTCTCAGACCTTAAGCAAGCATACTACTTAGTCACAAGTTCAAGGCCAGCCTGAGCAACATAGGCAGAACCTATCTGAAAATAATAAAGTATTAAGACCCCTTTCTTATGTATTAATGTCCAACCCTCACTCCCCACTCCAGGATGTAGGTTGGGAAGGAACAAAGAGCATACCTGATGGGGAGATAACTGTTGGGAACCTGTGATGGTTTGAGTAAGAATGGCCTCCACAGGCTAATACATTTGAATGCTTAGTCATTAGGAGTGGCACTACTTGAGAAGGATTAGGTGTGGCCTTGAACAAAGTGTGTCACTGGGAATGACCAAGCCATGCCCAGTGTCACTTCTCCTGCCTGCCAATCTGGATATAGAACTGGATGCTACCTCTTTAGCACTATGTCTGCCTGAAGGCCAATATGCTCTCTACCATGATGATATGGACTATACCCTTGAAATCATAAGCAAGCCCCAATTATATGACTTCTTTTATAAGAGTTGCAGTGGTCATGGTGTCTCTTTGCAATAATGGAACAGTGACTAAGACAGTCCCCTACAGTCCAATAAAGGCCTAGTCCAGTGTTGCATCAGTGCCATTCCTAGCCAACCTGGTGGGAATGTATATATAGGCCTTCTTTGTCTTCAGGTCCCTACCTTGTCATAGAGGGTATCCACAATGCTGTCCTCTTCACTAGTGCCCAGCAACTGGGCCAGTAGCTTATGCCCAAAATGCAGATAGACAAGTCCCGCACTGCTCAACTTGGTCTGCCATGGCTTCCCAGGGCACAGGGAACTCATAGTTTCTGTAAAAGTCCTGAGGAGCACAGGGAAGGGCTACAGTGAAGGAGTTGGTTCAGGAGTCTAGTGTGTGCATACAAGTTTACATGTGGAGACCTGTGAATCGGTAGGATGGGGCATGCTGTACGAACAAGAAGAAAACCCACTCAAATGATGTTTGCTTTTCCTCCAGTGCCAACATAGGCCTTGGTTCAAAGCTTCTATTCCTGCATTCACTTGACAATGGTTGGAACTCATCACTTACTGAATGCCAGGCTTTGTGCTTTGCATATTAAGGAGAAAAACTAAGATCCTGTCCTTTCAAGTTCATCAGTGGGAGGTGGACAAAACAACAGAGCAACTGTAGTTCACAGGACCATGAGGACCTGACCTCCAGATGCTCAAGTCCTTTATGTAAAATAGGGCAGTGTTTGCCTATAAACTACACACATCCTCCTGTGTGTATATATGTATATTTTTTTTGTTTTGGAGTCAGGGTTTCTCTGTGTATCCCTGGCTGTTCTGGAACTCTGTAGACCAGGCTGGCCTCAACTCAGGAGATCTGCCTGCCTCGGCTCCCCGAGTACTGGGATTAAAAGTGAGTGCCACCATGACTAGCTATAATTTTTTTTCTGGATGGGAACAGGTCTTGTGTGATCCAGGCTAGGCTGAAACTTACTCACAGATGATAACCTTTAACTCTTGACCCTCCTGCCATTACTTCCTAAATGCTGGGGTTACAGGTGTGCACCACCTTCCTTACTTCTCCCATATTTTTTAGATCATCTCTAGATTACTTAATAGGATACAGATGTTAGGTAAGTAGGTGTTATACTTTAAAGAACAAGAAAAGCCTATTCACATTCCATACAGATGCTTTTTACTTAAACAAACAAACAAAAAAACAAAACAAGCCAGGGACTAGAGAGATGGCTCAAAGATTAAGAGCACTGGCTGCTCTACCAGAGGTCCTGAGTTCAATTCCCAGCAACCACATGGTGACTCAAAATAATCTATAATGAGATCTGGTGCTCTCTTCTGACATGCAGACAGAACACTGTACTCATAATAAATAGATTAAACAAGCCAGGCACAGTGGCACACACCTTTGATCCTAGTACTCGGGTGATAGAGGAAGGCAGATCTCTGTGAGTTCTAGTTCGAGGTCAGCCTGGTCTACAGAAAAGTTCCAGGGCAGCCAGGGCTGTACACAGAGAAACCCTATCTGGATAAACTACAAACAAACACAACAGAAGGGGACAAAATTTCCTGAACTGGAAGGAGGAGTCATGAAATTTTGGAGGTGGGAAGTGGGGACACTCAAGTTTGAGATGAGGGCGAAGGGTGGCAATGGTGCTGTGGGTAACAGCTCTCTTCTGTTGCCATGATAAAACACGGCAGAGACCAACATAGGGCAGCATCAGCCCACAGTTCACCACAGCAGGGAAGGGGCAGGAGTTTAAGAATCACATCTCACCCATAGGCAAAAGCAGAGAAAACTAACAAGCCTATGCATGCTTCTATTGCTTGGCTTACTTCTAACTCCCGCAGTCCAGGAATCAGTGCCCCGCCCCACATCAATCAAGGTAATCAAGGCATCCCACATAGGTGCCCACCAGCCAGCCTCAAGTGGATAATCCCTCACGGAACCACTTCCTAGGTGATTCTGAAATCCAGGTTGTGTCAAGTTGAAAATTAAAACTAACCATCACCGGGCTGGGGATGATAAAAGAGCTGGTTGCTCTTGCAGCCCCAGAGGCAGATTCAATACCTACATCCACATGGTGGCTCACAACCCTCCTTTAACTCCAGGGCAGCCCGACGCCTTCTGACTTCTGCGGGCACCAATGCACATGGTGCAGATATGAATCCAGGCGAAACACACACACACACATTAAAATAAAAATGCACAAGACCACCGTAGTGGACTATCCTTGAATTAGAAGGATTCAGTTGCCTGCAGCAAGGTTTCAGTCCCAGAGTGATTAAGGAGTTTGGTTTCAACCACGAGGCAGTGGTGGACTTGGGCAGTAAAAGGCAGAATTGCAGCACAAACGAAAGATAAATCAAGGCAGTCAGAGAAGAGGTGTTTATGAACTCACCTCTGGTGATGATCGTAACGGTGTCTCAGAGGGTTGTACTCGCCACCCACATCCACCACGATGTCACAAGAAGCCAGTTTTTCGGGGTCCCGAGTCCGCACAATCTCTGCATCCTGCAGACACAGAAAGGAGGGGCTGTCAGGCAGGAGTCAGAGGATGAAGGGTGGGTTTCCAGAGGTGTGGTGCTCAGGTTAGTTTTCCTGGCCGTCCATACCTTGTACTCTGGCAGGAGGCGGAGCAACGCGCAGGCCAGAGCCTCATCGCAGTGGAAGGTGCCGTTGTGCGTCCCGATTCGCGGCGGTGCCATGAGGTTGCTGCGAGGCCTTTTAGGGGGCGAAACGGACTCTGAACCGAGCATGCGACGCTGGGTTTGGAGAAGTGACCGCAGCGGCAGCAACACTGTTAGGATATCACGCAGGAAACAACCCATAGGGTTCCCTCCCCTGGAAGGTTGACCCGGAAGAGGAAGTGTCTAGTGCATTTCACTTCCGCCTGCAAGCTATCCCCACGGCAACGACAAAAAAAAAAAAAAAAAAAAGTGCACGCTTTCTTCCAGCTCCTCAAAGCCCCAAGTGGAACCTCGAAAGGCAGCGTGGCTGACCCATTTTCGTGTTCTAGGCGAAAGTACACCTCTGGACACTCCCAGTTCACCACCAGTCCCTTGTTTAACGCAAGAAAAGACCACCATTTGCCCACCTGGCGCATTTATTAACATTAAACACAAGACCCTCTCTTCCCAGACACCAATAGGCCACTCCCCACAAAGTCCTAGGCCCCTTGAAACAGGGTTCCTCTCTGCTTCTTTTCTGCAACATATCCTCATGCCTTGGCAGTCGCCTGAGTCGCCCCCAGGGCTGTGAGCTGCTGGATCTTCTGGCTCATCGTTTCCATGACAGCTAAGAGAGAAGGAGGAGAGTCATCCTAAGGGACTATACGGGAGAACCCAGGTGAGGAACACACACACAGTCTACACTGTGTCAGTCAGTACAATAACCGCTGGAATGTATGTCCAATGAGACTGTTTCAAAACAAAAACAAAAAGCCACCAACACTTCGATGGCTTTAACATCAAAAGCAGCTCTTCCTATACCCGTTTTCCAGACTGATTTAGTTGGTGTGAACTGGACCTGCACTTTCTTTTTAAACTTCCTGGAGGACTGCTATGTACAGCCGCCAATGTGGTAACTGCTAGTGTTTTCTTAGCAGATTTCTACTGTGTTTATAGACATTTTATCCCAACCCATTATCAGATTTCTTCTTAATCACTCAACCCCCAGGATAACACATCAGGACACCAAAGAGAAACAGAAACATCTTTTCTGTTGTTGAGACAATGTGTCTTTACATAGTGCTGGCTGGTCTCTAACTCAGAGATCTGCCTGCCTTTGCCTCTCAAGTGTTGGGATTAAAGGAAGTGAACCACTACATCTAGCAGAGACATGGTTTTAACTTGGAGAAGATACCTCCAAGGTTTTTTTTGTTTTGTTTTTGTTTTTGAGGGGGGGGGGGTCAAGACAGGACTTCTCTGTGGCCCTGGAGACTGTCCTGGAACTAGCTCTTGTAGACCAGGGTGGTCTGGAACTCACAGAGATATGCCTGCCTCTGCCTCCCGAGTATTGGGATTAAAGGCGTGGGCCACTGTCCAGCTTTGTTTATTTTTAAGATTTATTTAATCATGTAGACAGTGTTATGTCTGCATGTATGCCTGCAGAAGAGGGTACCAGATCTCATCATAGATGGTTATGAGCAACCATGTGATTGCTGGGAATTGAACTCAGGACCTCAGGAAGAGCAGCCAGTGCTCTTAATCTCTGAGCCATCTCTCCAGCCCTAATACCTCCAAGTTTTATGTTATTATCCATGTTCTTTTTTGAGTGTATATGTTTATGTGTGTCCACCACTAAGCATATGTGTGGAGACCAAAGGAAAGCATGGTATCTTCTCTTGCTGTATCATTCTGTCTAGTCCCCCTGAGATGGGGTATTTCACTGAACCTGAAACTTACCCATTCAACTAGGTTGACCAGTCAGTGAACTGCCAGGATCTATTTGTCTCTGTCCTACCAGAGACAAACCTACTTGGGTTACAAGTTCTTGGATCATGCTCAGCTTTTGTGTTGGTGCTGAGTCCTTATGCACCAAACCCACTAAGCCATATCCCCAGGCTTTGCTTGCTTTTTTTTTTTTTGGTTTTTCCAGAACAGGTTTTTGGGTTTGGGTTTTGAATGGAGACCAGGCTGGCCTCGAACTCATAGAGATCCGCCTGCCTCTGCCTCCTGAGTGCTGGGATTAAAGGCATACGCCACCAATGCCTGGCATGCTTGTTGTTTTCAAATGTTAATACAGTGTATGTGTGTGGGCACACTCACGCTCATGTGCACCTGAGCAGATGTATGTGCACCATGTTCATATAGGAGACTCAGAAGTCGTATCTCCCGGTACTGGAGTTGTAGGTGGTTGTGAGCTGCCACATGGGTGCTTGGATCTGAACCTGTGTCTTCTACAAGCACATTAAGTGCTCTTAACCACCAAGCCATTTCACCAGCCCCTGTGTTTTCTGAGACAGGATCTTGGTATGTACCTTAGCCTGGCCTCTAACCTGGAAAACTCTTGCCTTAGCCTTTTGAGTACTAAAATTACAGGTGTGCCCCACAACATACAGCTGGATTTCTCATTTAAATGGATAGTATTGTACATGGATTATGTATGTGGGCACACACACATATATACACATACATTTTACTTATATTTACACATATATGCAAACATGTAAATTTTTTTTTTTTTTTTTTTTTTTTTTTTGGGGCCAAGGGATTTAACCCATGACATGTACATGCAAGGCACTCTGTTTTTTTGTTTTTTTGTTTTTCTGAGATAGGGCTTCTCTGTGTAACAGTCCTGGCTGTCCTGGAACTAGCTCTTGTAGACCAGGCTGGCCTCGAACTCACTGAGATCTGCCTGCCTCTGCCTCCCAAGTGCTGGGATCAAAGGTGTATGCCACAGCCAACCAGCATGCTAGGCACTCTCACTACTGTATGTCTCTCCCCCAAGCCTAAACCAATTAAGTCTTTTTGGGAGGTGGGAACAAGAGTCTCATGAAGTCCACACCGGCCTTGAAATGGAGGAATTAAAGTGTGTACCACAAAACCTGGCTGCTGCTACGCAATCCTCCCGCTTTAACCTCCTCAGTCTTGGGGATTACAGATGCATGCATTCACTCATGCCTTATGCAATAAATGTTCTTTTTCAAGGAGGCCAGGAGTTCCCAGGGGAGATGGCTTAACAGCTGGAATCACTTGCCACAAAGCCAGATGACAAGAGTTTAATATCTAGAACCCAGGAGGAAAGGAGAAAACCAATTCCTGAAAATTTCCCCCCAACCTCCACACATGTACCATGGCACTCATGTGCTTCCCCTCCACCTCCCAGAGACATGACAGACAGACAGACAATCATAGACAGAGTTTTACAGAACTGACCTTGTTTCATGGCGTGCTTCTCCTGAACGGCTGGCTGGATCTTCTCCATCTGCTTGGTAAGGAAGTCTATCTTCCTTTTGAAGAAGTCCTTGGCATCCTCAGCTGTCTGCAAGATGGGAGGTCAGTAAGGGAATAAAAGAAGACCCCACCTCTCAGAGGACATCCGTAAGCTTCTTACCAACTCACCTTCTCCACATAGTACCCAGTGCCCACATCAATGAGCACATGTTCCACATCATGTAACTTCCCAGGGACATACATCTGAGAAGCAAGGATTAAGGGAAAACACACAGTTTTGTCAGCCAGAGCCATAACCCCAAGCAACAGAGTTGGTTCCTTGTGAAGACAACAGAAGCTGGAACACCGACTTGTCCCGATCCCACCAGGATTTCTCCATTAGCTTTCCACAAAGAGAGATTAGATGGCAACTGTGCTTTCCCAAGGTTCTAGAACAGTGAAAGTAGATAGCTAGCCTCATCCACCCCAGCCATAAATCCTGATGGATTACTACAAATTCTTACAACTTTTTTTTTAGATTGTATATATGTGCATCGTGTGCATGCCTGGTGCCTGCATAAGTTGGGAAAGGTTGCTGGATCCCCGGAATTGGAGTTATCTACACCAAACTAGGTTCTCTGCAAGAGCAAGAAGTGCTCTTAAGCACTAAGCCCCCTCTCCAGCCTCAGATCATCATTAACTTTTAGATTACATTTACTGGCTTTTGTATACATGTTTTCACAAGTGCGTATGCCATGGAACATGTGTGGAGGTTGGGAGTTGGTTTTCTCCTTCCACCATGTGGTTATTGGATTAAACTGAGGTTGTATGTGTTTCTGCACATTTTTACCCACTAAATAATTTACTTAAATTTGTTTTAGTGTATTGGTGTCAAAGTGTCAGATCCTGGAAACTGGAGTGTGGGTGCTGGGAATTGGACCTGGTCCTCTGGAAGAGCAGCCAGTGCTCTTAACCACTGAGCCATTTCTCCAGCACCACACTATCACTATTATTTAACTTAAGCAATCTTCACAAATTAGGTTTCTCTCTTAGCCTGCGGTTTCACGGATTATTTTCAACAAATGGAAAAACAATCTAGGTTTCTTATTAAAAGTAGTTTTGGAATGAGCCACAATTAAGATGAAACTAACAGAGCCAAGTTCCCAATTTCACTATCTTACTATTTCCCTATTGCTTTAACCAACTGCCAGTTTTATCTCCATATTAGATGAACATCCCACACAGCAAAGAGAAACATTACACTTCAATTCTTCATTGAACTCTGATGGAAAGAAAGTATTGGATAGCTACTGGTCCTAGGTTAAGACAAGAGAATTATGAAATGTGTATGACTCTTTTTTTTGGTTTCCAAGCCAGGATTTCTCTGTGTAGCCCTCGTTGTCCTAGAACTCGTTCTGTGGAGCAGGCTGGTCTCGAACTCACAGAGATCCACTTGCCTCTGCCTCCCAAGTGCTGGGATCACCATGGGTTCCCTATCACCATGCCGGCTATGATTGTTCTTAAAATCTTTGGCTGACTGTTATCAAAATTCTCCCGGTTTGGGGGAATGACCGAGAAAGAAGGTAAGGTAGCATTTCCTGTGGAAAGGATACAGAACTCGTCAGCGGAACCAGTAATTCTTTTCCTGTGAAAGTAATGAAGACAAACAGCTGGGGAAGGCTGGCCGCTCCCACGTGAAGACGTTAGGGGGAGGGAGCTCCTACGGGGCATCCAGACAGTGAAAAGAACAGCAACAGAGGTGACGGGAGCTGAGGGATGTCTTGTGCATTTTAGCTTTCCCGTAGGCAGCATGCAGGGCCTTGTGTGGCTATACACACTACGTAACGGGCAGTTTTCTCTACGGAAAACCAGAGCGGGAGGACACGGCAGAGACGCGGGCTAGCGACGGTTCCCCAGGTGCCCTCACCCGCCTCACCCATACCCTCGTTGCTCTTGTTCAGCACGTTCAGACAGTCCTTGGCTTCCACGTA